ATTTCTGGTTACTTTTGATATATAAATTTAACTATGAAACAAAAAGTGAAATACAATAATTACTATAATTCATAACTCCCCAAATAATTTTTTTTTTTGCAATTTAATAAACAGGACATTTTTTCATGTAACAAGAAAGTTGAAATTAGGCTACACAGTATTACGCTGCATATGCTCCAGGTCACCGGTGGCTTAGCGGTAAGTCTGACGTCTTATAGGGCTATAAGTCATATGTCGATACCCGTGGAAAGCAGAGCGCAGATAGCCCTTTGTGTGGTTTAGTCCTTAAGAAAAACAAATGAGTTTCGAACTCTTTGACTGCTGCAGAAGAAATTGAAATAAATCTAGAGGAAAAACTCAATAAACACCAGAAAATATACTTAAAAATATCCTTGATAGTCTGTTAAGCATATGTTATATGTATGTATGTATATATATATATATATATATATATATATACACACATATTAACGCCAACCTTTAAAAATGATTGGTGGTGCTAGGTGCATTTTTCCACAGCTTTTTGGTGCTCAGCAGTACTCACATTAATACATTTGAGTTTGTTCTTGTTTTGTTGTGCATAGAGCTACAACCATGTTGTTTTGTGGTTGTCATATGATCCACACACTTGTTAAGGAACAGAATCTTCGCGAAATTTAAAAAAAAATACAAGCACTTGACGAGTTATGTTTGTTTTGAATTTCGCACAAAGCTACACGAGGGCTATCTGCGCTGGCCGTCCCTAATTTAGCAGTGTAAGACTAGAGGGTTTGGTCTTCTTTGGTGGAACTGGGTTTCGAACCCGCGACCCGCAGATTATGAGTTCAGCTCCCTAACCACCTGGCCATGCGGGGCCTGACAAGTTATGAAAAAAAAACCTTTTTGAAGGTCACTAAGTTGAGTACGTTATATTTAGACGATTTTGGAACCTCGTCACATCGTTACAGTCCATGTCGCCATGTTATGTTCAATTTATTAATTGACATGGTTGCTTATCATGTTAAACAATTGATCTAATTACTATCAATTTTTGTCTGAAATGAGATTGAATTGCTTTTTAAGGCAATAGCATCTCGAAATACTTTAGCAACATGAGATTGAGTATGTGGAGAATTCTTTGACATAGTAAGGATACACGGTATTTTGGTAACATTTAGTATTATCATTTTTTTACAACGTATTCCTCTCTTTTGTTCTTTTAGAAGGACATATAACTAGTTGATGAAGAAACAGCACAAATGACATTTAAAAAACAAGTGTTGTGACAAGTAACTAATATACACACATGTATATTTCAAAAGAAGAGAACCAAGCAACAAGAATTATCTGGTTGTTACACCTACAGATGTTTATCAAATATATTACCGAACAAAATTCTCAGTAAGTGAAACAAAAATTGAAGATTAATAAAATTTATTAAGATTATCAATCATCTTTAACCTGTGAATTTTGTTTATTCAACTTCCCAAGTACATATATATATATATACTAGTTTTAAGATAACTTTTTCACACCTTAAAATATTTGGCTTTGTGTAGGTTTCAACTTATTCTGTTATTTTAATGCTACTAGTCTTTTAACTAATTTTTATAGCTTATTGCTCTGTTTCTTTTTGCATTCTGAGAGCTCTCGCATTAGTCTACCTGTCATCTCATAAGTTACATTTTAGCAGTCTTTATTATTTTATCTCATTAAAAACCTTATTGTAATGAGCTGCTTGTTGTAACTTACTGCTTAATTAATATATTGAGTAGTAATAGTAGGTATTTGTTAGTCTTGTAAAACTATAGATTAGGCACGAAAAAAAAGTCTAATTCTTTAGGCACTTGTATGGCTGTATAGTCTTACTTGGGACAAGCACATTCTGTTGCAGTTTGATTTGTTTGTTTTGAATTTTTGCGTAAAGCTACACGAGGGCTATCTGTGCTCGCCATCCCTAATTTAGCAGTGTATGACTAGAGGGAAGACAACTAGTCATCACCACCCACTGCCAACTCTTGGGTTACTCTTTAACCAACGAATAGTGGGATTGACCGTCACATTATAACACCCCCATGGCTGAAAGGGCGAGCATGTTTGGTGGACCGGAGATTTGAAACCATGACCCTCGGATTGCAAGTCGAGTTCCCTAACCACCTGGCCTGTTGCAATTTGAGCAAGCAAAGGTTGTTGTTGGGCATGATGGCTGTATTCTTTCCGATGGTGTTTTTATCTTCTGTTTGCCGATTTCTTTTTTTTAATTTTTTCTTCATGCCTTCCTTTACACTACTTTACTTTTCCAAGCACTGCAAATTTCTGCTGCTTCTTTACATTTGTCAACACAAATTTCAAAAGTTTTAATATCCCTTTTGCAAGCTTCCTCGTAGCGTAGATGGGGATGTCCAGCTGATCTTTCTCCTGTTGCCAAGATGTCTTTGGGGATTCTTCTATCTTTCATGCACCTTGTGTGTCCAAGCCATCTCAACCTTCTCTGTCTCAGTAGCGAGGTGGTCTGCATATTGGCATGCTCAAACACTTCGCTGTTGGCGATTTTTTTCCTGCCATATTATCCTGCAAAGATAGCTCATATGGAAACTATTGAGCATATTTTCCTGTAGGCCATCCATGACTTACTATATTATATTCTATGCTTGCAGTTTTAATTAAAAACTTAGTTATATATTAAAGCAACTAAATTATTTATTTCTAAATTGTTATGGATGCTATCCACCAATTTTCTGACAACATATCTATAAATCTGAATTATAGCTTATACATGTAATATGTATATAAATGTCATTCATTGTTTCAGAGTTTTTTGGAGTACAATTTTAATTAAAAAAGAAGAGAAAATACAGTTTGAAAAAAATTTTTTTTATTAATAATCACTACCACCAATACCAGTTTTGTAACATGATATTAGGATTAAATGATATGTCAGTGAAGCTAGGACCTTATAAAGTCACACTAAGTGACATGTTGAGGAATCCATGGTCTTACATTAAATCATTGTTTAACGTGTTGGCAAATTCAGAGTTTTACACTATTTCATTACGTAATATGTCAGTGAATCCAGGGTTTTACATAATTTCATAGAACCCAGAGCTTTACATTTTACATTGTGTAACATTTCAACTGATCTGCAATTTTATGTTATTTCACTTTGAAACCTATCAGTGAATCGAGGATTTTAGATTTCATTGTGAAAGAAGCTGTTGAAGCCCTAATTTTATAATACAAAATCATGTACCACTATAAACCAAAGATTTAATAGTAATTAAATGTAAAACATGTTGTTGAAACTAGGATTTAATATCAATTAATTGTATACATTCAGAAACCAGATGATTAATAAATTTTGAGATAAAGGTGAACTTATACAAATGAAATGGAAAAAGAAATATTTTTGGAAAATTGTATATATTTTGAACTATAAAATGATTAAATATTTATGGCTAAATATTTTGTAAAGTAATCACTTGAGTATATTAATCTACATCCTATTAATCCTATGTGCACGGGTAGGGGTTAAAGTTTGCATGCCACAACATTTTACAAAATACCATTAAACATGGTATTATACATTTGGTGTCAGAGTTATCAACTATTCATTTTATTCTTCACTGCAACAGTTAGTGGCAAAAAAAGATTAAATACCAGATACAATATACAGGGATACTGAACTGTCAATATGCATTTCAGACATTATGTAAGTGCAGTACACAAAATGTACGATGGAAAAAAATATTTTTATTCTTCACTTGCACTCCAATTTGTCAGACTCTGAGTCAGACTGATTGCCAATTCGCAGACATATACTGAATACAAATGTTTTTGTAACACATCTGATTTTTTGTGTACAACAGATTTGTAAATTTGTTACTAAAAGTTGCCACATTTTGTATAGATATACGTGTAGTAAATTTGGAATTAATAGGCAACATTCCTTCTTCAATAAGGGGTTGGTTAAGCAACAAACTAACAACCCATTTCTCAGTTTCTTGTTCTCTAATTAATCTTTGCAAAGACAGTAGA